CAAGGCGTTTGGGGAGAGAAGGGAGAGAAAGGGGCGAGAATTCAGGCTGCCATGGAGCTCAGAGGAAGCGAATTAGCAGCAGAAGCGAAAACACCTCAAGAACTGGCTTTATTCAACAGCAGTTTGGGACAGATGTTGCATCAGCCCTGCTGAGGCAGGGCAGTGCCACAGAGAGCAGCATGGTGCAGGTGGCATGAGCCAGCGCTGCGGTCCCACTGCGGGCACACAGCTGCCCTGCACGACTTTGTGCTACAAAGTGCGACCGAAGCATCTGGAATAGCTTGCCCACGGACACAAGAGCCATTCCAGGCGTGACTGGCACAGAACAATGCTCTGCCTCCGCTGCAGTGGCACACAGGAGCAGGGACATGGAACTTATAAACACCTGAGCAGAAGCTGTTCCTCTCAGACCCTCCTGTGCCCAAGGAACTGCAGCCCAAGCAGCACAGCCCCTACAGGGCTTTGTCAAGACCAGGGACTCCTGCAAGTTTTCCCATAACAAGCAAAACCCTTCCACAAATACCAGAGGTTACTTGTTGAAAGCTAACTGGTTCCCAGCACAGCTGGCAGCAAAATTCTTGCCAGTATTGTTAGGCAAAGCAAGACCAGTACCTGTCCAGGTATGTGCTCCTCATAGCCCAGTCTAGAAGTGTAAGCGTCTTCTGCCCGGACACAGTCCATGGCGTGTTCTGCCTGCGGAGCCGTCCAGCTGTACACTTGGAAAGGAGTGGCTATCCTCTCAAAAGGGTGTCTCTGAACCCTGGTTTGGGAGGGAAAACGATTAGACATTTTCCTCAGGAAGGTCTCCCTGTGCTTTCACACCAGTACAGGTTACAGTCCAAGAGCAGCCACAGTGCAGCCTGGCTGCTCTTGGCAGGGGCTGGGGGCTCATCTCTACTTACTCCTGGCCCAAGGAGCAACACAGTCTAACAATTTTTAAATGGCCAGATAGTGACAGTGGTGGCTGGAGGCCACTGCTAATTTTAGCCCTTGTCTAGTGTCACTTTCATCTCCTTAATGAAGCAGGAGCAGAGCTCCCAAAAGCCACACAATGTGCCTGTCAATCTGCCCCCGCTGAGCTGAGGCAGTTCATTAAGTGACTCTGAAGAATGACAGGCTTTGCACAGGACCCACTGTCCTGGAGCAGAACAAATGGTCCCTGCAGCAAGGACAGGAGAATCAAACAATGCCTTACTGTTGGTTTATTATTATAGAGGCTAGAGGAAATTAGAGAAGATTAACATGCAGAGACATGTTTAAAATGATCGCTCCCTCTGCTGTGAGCCTACGCGAAGCCTCGTGCGTTACGTGCGCTGACACTCTGCTTCAGCCCCTGTGTTGGCTCAGGGGAGAAGCACCTATTGATGAGGTGACCAGTGCTGCTGCAGCACATGGCCCAGGCAGCCACCAAACCTCCCACGGGCCAACACAGCCCGTGTGAGGAGACCCACACCTCGGGAGCAGGTCAGCACATCCAGTGTCCCTCGTCTGAACGCCGCTGCACACCTCTGTGTCCTGTGTGTTCAGTCTGCAGCAGGACAGAGCACCTGAATGCCAGGTCAGCCCCACAACTGATGCTCCCATGGGAACAGAATGCTGTGCTACCCCCACCCCTCGCTTCAGGCAGACCCAAAACAGCAAATCTACATCCTGTCAAGCAAGTTGCTGGGGAGCTACAGCCGAGAGGAACCATCCGGTGGATACGGATCAGGACTCTGGGCTTCCCCTGGCCCCGTCACTGCTGTGCTGAGCACCAGACACACACCAGCCCCGACAGCTCCAGATCTGCAGTGAGAGACAGCCAGCTGCTTCAGGGTGCTGACACGACCTTCAGGCAGGTGCTGTGTGCTCCTTGCCCCTACACTTGCGTGTCCCACCTGCCCAGCACGGCGAGCCCAGTGACACAGGCACTGCAAGCCCTGCTGCACCGGTGGCATCCAGCTCCCCAGCACCAGCTGCACAGCTGAGCCCTCTGCCTCACACTCAACTGCTCGAGAACCAGAGAGGAAGAAGCACTGCTACCGTTTCTTCTGCAGAGCAGAGAAGTTTTTTTTGAAGGTAGGGCTGATCTGGTTAAGTAGTTCCACCAAGGAATGACTGAGAAAACTGGGGTTTGCAGGTTTGGGATTGAAGTTGTATGCAGTAGACCTACAAGAGAGAAAAGAAAGAGTCATAGGCTGCTGTCATACCTGAGACTTCCCATACCCTCCGCCACACGCAGTATCAAAGGCTGCACCACGTGCCCTTGCCAGCAAAACAGAGACCATGGGGCACAAGGGGCTGCAAGGGCTCTCTCCAGTCTGCCCATGAGACACAGCCAGTAACCTTGTTCCTGGCCCTGACGGGACCTTCTTCAGCCACCCTCAGAGTCAAGAGAGGCTTCTCTTTTATAGCTGGGAAGGACTGATTTCACATTGCTTCCCAAACACACCAAAAGAGCTTTCACTTAACAGAGAATCCCCTCAGCAAAGCAGCTCTGACAGGCACAGCCACAACAGTCCCTCACAGTCAGCACTGAAAAAATAAACAATTTCTAGTCAAATCTGTGCCTGGCTCAGGGAGTTCTGACAGGCTGTGCTTTTGCTTTAGGGCAAAATGAGATCCTTGCAATGGTCAGGAAGGAATTTCCTCCCAACTCAAAATGCTCTAATTAGCCGGTGACATTACAGAATGTTTACACTTTCCCCTTCAGCCACTGTCGAGAAGTGGTCCCAGGCATAACTGAGCAGCCCAATCCAGTACAGCAACTCCCACAAACCCATGTGAGCAGCAAATTAAAATAGGCTTTCCACCAGGAGAAGAAACCAAAACAACGCAGCAACTGTGTGCTCGTGGGTTGATTTCCAGCTGGCTGCTGCAGGGCAGGCCGGGAGGAACCTCAGTCACTCACTGATTCAAGTAAAATCCCCGAGTGGACGCAGTGATGCTGATGTGCCGATCCTCCACTGTGATGACGTACAAATACATCAGGTCCCCGTGCATCTTCCGGTTCCCGGGCGGAGGATTCCAGCCACTCATTGTCAATACCTTGAGGCACTGC